AAGCACTTTGACTGAGCAGCTGTGGTTTTAAATGAGCTGTATAGATAACTGTGATTTGACTAGACGCTGAGATCCGATCAGCAAATCCCACAGATGACGTATGCGGTGATAAATTAGGAATCAAAGTCAAAACAGAAGAAATTGCCATGGTTTCTGTTTTGATCTTTTGCTGGTATGTGTGTGATATTTTGCTAATAAAGAGATCTGATTGATGATGTGCATTTTCAATTTTCATCATCAGAGAGGCCCTCTTTGCTGATGATATCGATCTAGCAACCCACTCGGGTGACGCTCTACAGAGACTGATTGATCTTTTTGCTATAGCCTGTGATGAGTTCAGTCTCACCATCAGCATAAAGAGGACGTAAGTGATAGGACAAGGCATTGACTACTCGCCTCACATATCTCGGAAGCCATGAGCTCAGCTCAGTCGATAAATTCCGGTACGTTGGGTCCATAATTAGCTCAGATCGCTCACTCGAACCACAGATCAGCACAAGAATAGAAAAGGCCTCAGCAATCATGTCCAAGCTTCACACCAGAGTATGGTCAAACAACAAAATGCAGGTGTACAGAGCTTGCATCCTGAGTACACTTCTCTACTCCAGTGAAACGTGGACTACCTCCTCCGCTCAGGAGAAGAGCTCAACAGCTTTCCATCCTCGGCATCAGTTGGCAAGATAGAATCCCAAACACTGCTGGCTGGGCCACGTACGTCACATCGGCGACGGCAGAATGCCTAACGAAGGCTCTACAGTCTTCCTAACAAGATCGAGACACCTCCATACACATCTATTCTTCATGCCAAAAAGACTGCTACTCCTTGGCTTGTTTAGCCACGCCAAGAAGTGTGCGAGTGACTGACCATGGTGCATCCCATCGTCTCTTGAGACAGAAGGAAGCCAACGACGCCAATTTTCAATTTTAAGTTTGAGTTCACTGGCTAAACTTTGCCACGATGTTGCGTAACCACCTACATTGCAAAGTATCCAGGAACACCTCTGTGACACAAGAAACACCAGATGGATGTGGCAGGGAGTCCAGGCACTAACGGACTACAAGGCCAGGCAGGGGGTCGACGACGACAACGCTTTTCTTCCTGACAGGCTCACCAAATTCTTTGCAAGCTTTAAAGCATCAAACCCGACAATCAGAGAGAGGGCTGGTCCTTCTCCTTCTTCTGTCAGGCTAGCTTTCACCATCAGCGCAGCAGGACCCTAGCTAGGGTCAACCCACGAAAAATGACAGGACCGGATAACATCCCAGGACGTGTGCTCAGAGTCTGATGAGCTGGCAGATGTGCTGACTGACATTTTCAACATCTCCCTTTTTTGACTGTATATTATCCATCCATTATCTATACGCCGCTTAATCCTCACTAGGGTCGCGGGGGGGCTGGAGCCTATCCCAGCCGACTTAGGGCGAAGGCAGGGGACACCCTGGACAGGTCGCCAGTCCATCGCAGGGCCACACTTAGAGACAGACAACCAAGCACACTCACATTCACACCTACGGACAATTTAGAATCACCAATTTAGAATCACCTCAACATGTTTTTGGACTGTGTGGGAGGAAGCCGGAGAACCCGGAGAGAACCCACGCTGCACGGGGAGAACATGCAAACTCCACGCAGAAAGATTCCGGTGTCCCCACCGGGACGCGAACCGGCAACCTTCTTGCTGCGAGGCAACAGTGCTACCAACTGCGCCACCCTGCAGCCCTATTTTTAAAGATATCAGATATATTTTAAATTAAATTAGGATATAGAATAATACAATATAAAATACAACAACTTACATTACATTATTGTATATACTAGGTCATGAAATCAGTATGTCAGTTGAGCCTGTCAACCAGGTTGCCTGTAATTATTTTTAAATTCCAGCAGGTGTCTCTACTGAGCAACATAGTGACAGAGTACCAACAGAGTATCAATACAGTTTGGGAAATGTGTCACAACGCTTCATGAGGCCTCATCTACCCACCTCTATAATAAACGGTATCTGAAACTACATTTGCAGTAAAAATTCAAATCCTGCTGTTAAAACTGAGAATAACACAACGCCCAACACAAATCCTTGTTGAAATGCCTGTATTTATTTATTCTTATAGTTTCTTTACAGAACTTTTTTATCCTTCCATGCAAGGATACAACTCAAAGAAAATCTGACCTTTGTACAGAGGATGGTCACTGCATTCAGCATTATTAGTTTCATTGATTACTGAGAAAAAGAGCAGAGAATCAGTTATTTCTTCTTCAGTTTACAGGTCAGAATTTCTTGTGTTTTGAAAGGTTTCCATGAAAATCTGACTTACCCACTGTACATAAAAAAAGAAACATCCCCGTCACTGGATGTTACACCACATCCTGACATCTCAGCTCAAGTTTAACTCTAGAGATCCATTATTTTACTGAGGCTAATGCTTAAACATTAGTAAGTGCAAAAATATGAACATTGCCCTTTATAAAAGAAGCACAATCACACTGAAAATCTTCTGACATACAAGCTAAAAGTGAAATATAGAGGATCCCCTCTGTAAATTACAACATATGGACAATAAGCAGGATCCAAGAAATCATGTTCTAAACAGAACCATTACTGGATGTATTAGGATCAATCAGTATGTTAGTCAGTAAATAAGAGCAGCAGCACAGAGATTAAACACACTTTTCCTCAGAGCTGTGAGAGGAAGGAGGATGGGATAAAGGTGGAGTCTTTTTCACGAGTGATGGGAGAATGGAGCGCGAGATTGATAGTAATGCGGGAGCTGTACCGGACCGTCGTGGTGAAGAGAGAGCTGAGCCGCAAGGCGAAGCTCTCGATTTACCAGTCCATCTACGTCCCAACCCTCACCTATGGTCACGAGCTTTGGGTCGTGACCGAAAGAACGAGACCGCGGATACAAGCGGCTGAAATGAGCTTCCTCTGCAGGGTGGCTGGGCTCAGCCTTAGAGATAGGGTGAGGAGCTCAGACATCCAGAGGGAGCTCGGAGTTGAGCCGCTGCTCCTTTGCGTCGAAAAGAGCCAGTTGAGGTGGTATGGACACCTGATTCGGATGCCTCCGGGGAGGCTTCCTCTGGAGGTTTTCCAAACACGTCCACCTCGGAGGAGACCCCGGGGCAGACCCAGAACCCACTGGAGGGATTATGTCTCTGGGCTGGCCTGGGAACGCCTCGGGATCCCCCAGGCAGGGCTGGAAAGCGTTGCAGGGGAGAGGGAAGTCTGGGATGACCTGCTCCGCCTACTGCCCCTGCGACCCGACTCCGGATAAGCGGAAGACAATGGATGGATGGATGGATGGCATCTACAACTTGTTCTATTTATATTCTTGATATGATCATATCATTGTGTTCCAACTGTTTATATTGTATCATGCTGTGGACACCCATGCTACGCATAATGCAATTTTACTGCTTCTTTTGCACTAATGATTAGATGCTGAACTGCATTTGCTTAATAAGTGTACTCTGTGTAATAACACTAAAATTGAACCCCTTCATGCATGAATTCTAACTTCAGTAAGGATTTTTTTGTACTAGGTATTTTTATTCATCTTTAGGCATGAAAAACCAGGTTTGAATTTTATTTTCTTTCAACCCATTTTTATAAAAATATATTTACATGTCCACTTAGCTGGACAGCATGCTTTTTTTTATAGAAATATGTATTTAACAAAGAAATGAATAAAATCATGTCATACAGTGTGTTGAAATGTAAAATGTGATGTTAACTATAAAATACTGTAATTTATGCATTCATAACCAAAACACCATTGAAGGATTCACTCTCCTGTACAGATTCCTAAGTCTCTCGCTCATTATCCATCAACTGTCAGCCATAACAGGGTGCTCTGCCCCAGCACTAACTTATACTGAATGTTTTTATGGCGAGCTTTACTGCAAAGAAACCTTTTCTAAACTTTCCCAGCACATTAAAATCAAACTAAAATCTGTTTCATTAGTATTTTTGCTAATCCATCCTGCTCTGGCAGCCATTCCTCATCACTGCTACTAGCATCACCTTCCTCACTTAAATTTGATAACTTTGCCACTACCCTGTAGGCCTGTCTTTTATGCTATGCTCCTGAGCTCTACAAAATAAAAAGATATTCATAAAGACATACCACAACTTAGACATAAACAAGTTTATTTACAGCCAAAAACGTTCCTGCAGATGAAGTATTTTCAAGAACAACAGCAGTAATAGCCTAATTGTATCCTATGAATTGTAGTTGAAATACAGTCAGTGATGCATGATGTACAGTTTAGTGGACATATGATTAATCATAGTTTCCTCCCAATATAAAATCAATACTTGGAAAATTTAGCAATTGCATGACTCCTTAGATGTTACTTGATGTCACCATATTTTTCTTACCAAGGGTATCTTTATATAGAAGTTCTGAACAGAAAAAAAATGAGCAAATTGGTGTTTCTGGCTGTCTCTTGGCCATCTTGGTTTCACTCTTTTTTTAAATTCATTTGCAATGGCTACCCAATCAGTGGCAGCACATGAGATGATGCAAAAGGCATCCTGTGTAGTGGCTGATGTGCAACTATGCCATCAAAACTCACGCATATACAAGTAAAAAGCTTTTGAACAGCTGTACACTGTAGTGACCTCTATGCATGAAAGTGAATCTAACCTACTCTCATAGAGAATCTTGGGATTTGTTGGGTTTTCTGTGTATATTATTGTAGGTTCTTAATCTAACCCAGTAAGTTACTGACTTTATATTGTTTTATATATTGTAGGGTCTTTAACTTAATATTTGAATTAGTCAGGCACTTTAATGCCATTAATATTATTGTAGGCCCTTAATATTTAAACTTGTGAAGCAAATTAGTGACATTGTGTTTACTTCTTTACTGGAAAGCACTTTGACTCAGTTGCTGTTGTTTTAAACATGCTGTATCAATAACAGTGACCTGACTACATCGTATGATCCTATTAACAAATCACACTGATGACCTCTGTGGTGATTAAAGAAGAAAGAAATAACACCAGGTCTTTATTGAAACAGCAGAAACTGCAACCTAACTTGACATGTTTTTCAACATTTGTGGGTGTGTATCAGCTACAACCAGTAAAACCAATTGTGTGTTTCTTCATAACATAACAAAACATTTCACAAAGCACTCATGGAGCTGCAGACAGTTGTTTAAAAGTTTGTTTAAAATCAATGCGGACTTCAAAACAAGTTTAGCATTTCCAATAATGCATCAAGAAATAAATCACTGATGAGGAACAAACAGATGACAGATTAAATTCATGACATATGGCTGTAGTTTTCACACAGTTTGACCTGTACAGCATTACAGCCTGTGATCACATTTTAAAACATACACTAAATCAGTAGAGGTGGTTTCTGTTTGGGGAATTTGCTGCAATGTATGTGACATTTTGCTGATGAAGAAATTAAAATTAACAACATTTGAAGATGTAATGATGGAACGAAACACTATGACTGTCTTGACTGTATCAACCTCCTCTACAGGTACCAACAGAAGTCCACTTCATTTCAAACTTTTACGCTGTTTAAGTTTTTTCTTCCACGGACGTTTCAGGATGATGACGTCTCATGTGGACTTTCAAACTACTTCCTTCAGTGAAACTTTTTCCGCAGGTTTCACAAGAGTACGGCTTCTCACCTGTGTGAGTTCTCATGTGGACTGTCAAAGTACTTCCTT